ATGAAACTATATGAAATTTGGTAAAAACTTGCCATACTTTTTCTAGACTTTCTAATTTTTATATAAATGATACTTGAAACCATTGGTACTTGGTGAAACTTCATAATTACAGAATTGAGGAAAAACATGACAATCGTATATTTCAGAAATACATCATTTCTATTTTTATTGATGATCCAACAGATTCATTTTATATGTCCAATTAGTTTAACTTGTTGGATGTTCAGTAATAAATATAAAAACTTATTTTACTGAGTAAGTAGTTAAATTCCCACTACAAATGATACAAATATGGCAAGATTAAAATAATTTTATCAGCAAATACTGACTCCACCTTTCAAAATGTCCTCACCTTACCTGTGTCAAGCCTCATGGCATGATATTTTGCCAATAATATTAAGGTTGTTACATTATATTATGAAAAATTATAAATTCTTATATTTTTGTGTTGTTTGAATAAAAAAAAATTAATTTTAACAAAATAATTCAATAACGAAATATTTCTGACATTCAAGGAGTTTACTGTTTACCATACTATTTACCTAAAATATCCTTATTTGATGTTTGTGATAGAAAAATATTCCTATATCTTTAATATGGGCATAATGTAACACTGAAACATTTATCAGTAATGAAAACAACATTGTCATAAGCTACAATAAAACATAATTGAAAACTAGCTTAAGCTGAAATATTTTAAAATTTCCTCTTTGAATTGCTTCATTTCTGTTAACTACAACAAATTAAATGTTTTCAGAAATGCAATTAATTTACACACAACACTACTTCTAGAGCACTGTCATGAGTACATCTATGGGACATGCTATTATTACCTTTACGTTAGCTTTTAAAAGTGTGATACTATCCACCTGTGAGTTTGGAATTTTGTAATACCATGAAGAAAGGGTAGTTCCCTTCAAACTTCACAAAGATTACCAGTTTCAAGTTCCATGTATCAAATATTAAAATGTGTATTTTGGTGTCTATTGTACCTAAAAATAAATAAGGCAGTGGAAGACTTTTTATCTATAAAAAATGGATGTGAATGATTACAATTTCTTCTTTTTGAAGACTATTAGCTTTTGGCAAGCTTGTTAAAGCAATAATAAAAAATGTTACAAACTTTGGGACCATTAGTTTGTTAAGACAGTGATGATTAAATCCCAATATTACGACTGACAAGAAGAATCCAAAAGTTGGCAGTGAATGATGTTGACTAGCTGCTTTCCTCTGGTCTATTACATTAAAATTAGGAATGGTTAGCACATATAGTCTTTGAGTAGCTTTACATGAAATTCAGCAAACAAACAAGTTGTTAACTTTAGGCTAAGTCTCTTTTACCTTTTCATAGCTAAAACTATTAAAATTTCTAAAGACTTCCATGCAGTGTGGGATTCAAATATTTTAACAACAGGTTCTCTCACTAGCAGCATGTAAAAATATTAGATATTAAATAAAAGGAGGGGCCAGAAAGCCCCCCCCCCCCCCAT